GATAGATAGATAGATAGATAGATAGACAGACAGACAGACAGACAGACAGACAGACAGACAGACAGACAGACACTCATAGACAGAGGTAGCCAACACCTTCTGGTCCCCTCATAAGGATGTATTTGGCAGGGCTCTAAGAGTTAATTTAAAAGGAACTGGTAGGAACACTGATATTGCCTCTCCACTATAATTATCCCACTTCTAGAGCTTTGCAAATGGCCTCAAGGAATAATTGTAGCTTGGACTCTGAGCTCTTCACACACACAGAGAGAAATGTATGTCTCTATATCTTCTGTGCTTCTACTGATACTGTGACCCCAGCGCCGTTCTGCAGGGTCAGCAGACAAACTTCCAGACAGTAGGTTAATTCAGATTACTTTAGTTAATTGATCAATGCGTTAAGTGGATAATTAGCAACAATTTTAGCCGCCTAAGTGCAACTCCGAGGTTGTGCTATCCCCACTATAAGCATTGATTTTCTGGGCATATAAATGGCCTTTTGGAAATTGATGGCCTCATTGGAGGCCGGGAATCACAGCGGACTTGCATTTAGAGTATGTTTGAAGATGAATACAAATGTGCACAGCTGACTTAAGGGGTGAAAGGCTCATCTGGCATGATTGAAAAGCCTGGAAGAGCAAGGGGCTTCCATGTTTGTGTGTCTTTGTGAGAATCTACGTGCAAGTGTAATGTTTTGCCTGACCTTTTAAGTGCAGCATAAGACTGCAGAAATTTCCTTTTTTATTTGCTGGACCAAGTGCTTTTATAAACACCAGAAATGTGTCATTAAGTTAAATAAATTCTGCACTTTTTAGTTTACTATTTGGATTTTAATTCTCTCTAAGGTTTATTTGTATTTTTGCTTTTAAATGAGCAATTCCTGACCCTAACCCTTTGATTATGTTTAAGCAACTTTTCAATGCTTTATTTTATTCTACTATTATAAAAAAATACCCACCCAATCCTCACCCCAATGGTATTTTTTTAACAGCCATTTGCACAAGAAAGCAGTCATTATACAGAAGATATGGCGGGGCTTCGCAGCAAGGGCACGCTTCAGACAAATGGTGAAGGTAAGTTAGAGCCTAGAAAAGCTATAGATATATTGATTATGTTATGATAGCATGCATTAGAATTCAATTGCTATACTCCTAAGTCTCTGCCTCTGACCTTAAGAAATATAATTCACTCATTACACATTTGGAAATGAACACTTAGCAAATATGATGGAATATGATAAGAAATCCCATCTCTGTTGCAATTCCAGGGATGCATTAAGTAAGAGTCGAGTGAGAAAAGGAAATAAGAAAAGAGTTGTGTATGTGATGATTGTGTATGTGTGCGCTTTAGTAAAACAAGCCCCCATTTTCAGCATATTGCCTCCAACTGCTTCTTAATTGAACAGATTGTTGATACCGGATCCAATACCCAGCGCCCTCACGTATAATTTTCCCCTGGATTGAGTTCTGTAAACGTATCACAACAAGCTATTTATCATGCCTGTAAATTGACTGTTTGCTAAAGCATAACTGCCAGCCGTCGTTTGGGAGGCGTTCAAGAAATGAAGGGGTGGGGGGGGGGGGGGGGGGGGGGCAGTGGGTGGTAAAATAAACAATGAAGGATGTGTCACAACACACATGGGCTAAAATGAGGCTGTTTGGTCTTATTTGGAAACAGATGAGTGCTAATTTGAATCACTCAAAAATTGCCACAGTGAACTATTTTGAATTAGTTCAGAGAAATTCCCCGCTCCGCCTCCTCCGTTGCTCTCTGTCCGTCTTCTCCTGTCTCGCGGACTCGATGGTGTGTACTGTGACTCGCACAAAGCTTTCTTCACGAAACATCAAGCTGAATTTACAATCTCCTTTCAAGTCTTTGTCTTTCTTTTCCTTCCCATCTTTCCTCTCTTCCTTGTCTTTATTGGAGAAGACGTGCTGAAATATGAATCCCTTTTATAGCCAACACTTCAGTTTGCTTCTGAAATGTGCCCCCAGTGGTCGGCGGGCACGTTTTGTCTGCGCGATGGCTTGTTGAGCGTGTGGCTGAATATTCTCTGGCCCTTTGTGAGGCTCTTTTGTGGCAGGGCTGTCATTGAATATGAAATCCAGAGGAGAGCGTTTGGCCGTCATACATCTCCATTAGTGCGCTGCTTGACTACCATAGATTTTCTTGGCCCTTGTGTGTGTTAGTATATTAAGAGAGGACTCTCCTCCCCTTGACACAAAGTCCCACTAACCACTTTCTCTCTTCCTCTCTCCCTCCATTCTCCTGACTTTTTCCTTTTCCTGTCCTCTTTCCTGCTTTCCCTCGTTCTGTTTCAACACCCCTTCCCTCAACCCCCATCCTTTACCATGGCCCTATCTGTGCTGTCTCTGTGCAATGTATTATGTATAAAGAGCTCTTTATCTTTGATGCCTGCTGTGGACAGATCAGAGGGCCGGGAGACAAGATGTAACGGCATCTTTTCCTTTGTGTTCACAGGCGGCATATTTTATCATGAAGATGAATTTCTACGAGGAGATGGCGGTCAGGGTAAATATCACCACAGTGCCTTGTATTAGCAAATGGAGTGTCATGGTGGGGGGACACTCTGTTGCTCTGTGTGTGCAGTGAGTGGGAGTCCCCATGAATATCAATCTTTTAAACACTTTGACATAGTACTTTGTTGCACTAAATGTCCAATTGACATTTTCTTTTTATTTCCTACTTTTGAACACATGTTAACAGTTTATGCAGCATTAGTTATTGACAGGAATCTGATATTTATTTTTTTCTAGTGGCGTTCCTATAAAACATTTTGTTTTCCAGACACTGATTTTGCTTAAATGGGCCCCCAAATACTTCTGGCAGCCCATTCACATATTTGTTCACGGCTTATAGTAGAAAGCTTTTTTTTTTTTACTTTAACTTCTCTATCAGCGGCACAGTGTAGGACAGCTGTTGCCTTACAGCTTGAAGGATTGTCTCTAAGCCTGGTGTCTTTCAGAGAAGAGTTTGCATTTTATTCCCATGCATGTGTGGGTTTTCTCTGGGTATTCCAATTCCCTTCCACAGACTAAAAACATGCATGTTAGGTTCATAATTTCAAATTGTCTCTAGGTATAAGTGCGAAGGGTTGTTTGTCCCATTTGTCTCTTACTGGTTGGGTGTAAACCGCCTCTTGCAAGGTGATTGCTGGATGATCAAATAAATAAATAAATAAATAAATAAATAATAACTAGAAGCACTCTGAGGGTGCAAACCTCCACCAAGACCAATTTCCCCCATCCTGTAAGAGTTAATGCACAAAAGCAGAGATGAAAACACATTTGCTGAATAAGTTCTGACGTAGTGAACATTTAAGCAGGCAGTATGTACGGGATTTCTTCCCGGTGGAGTCCAATGTCGAAAAAACAAAAGTCAGACTCGTCACCCGATGTTATTCATCGTCAAACTGGTCTTGGATTAAGCTCCTAAGTCAGGGCTATTCAACTAAACTGCTCTGGGGGCCACAGTTACTGCAGGTCAACAGCTTAGGTGCTGGACATCCAGCAATTAAATTTATTATGTAAATAAAGCAAGTATTACAAAGATCTGTTACCTTAATAGTTTATTGTGCTGCATTTAATCATGATTACACCATACAGAACCCTATAAAAGTGGTGATAAATGAACAATATCAAAAACAAAAAGAACACATTATACCCCCTATTTGACACAAATATTATTTTGACATGTCTGACTTGCCACATTTTTAAACCAATTTTATTTTCATTTTGATAGTTTTATCTTCAACTGCTTGTCATTTTAATTATCTTTAGTGTACAAAGAAATGTTTTTACCAGCTTGTAGCCAAGGTTCTGATGGTTCTGTAGATACCAAACATAAATATGACTAACTAAAATAACTTAAAGTAATTTAAGTAGAAAACTGGGGGTTTGAGCTTAAGAGATGAATGAACCAATTGGCAGGCGGCCTGCGGACCGCCAGTTTAATAGCCCTGTCCTAAGTTTTCATCAGTCACATTCCACTGTGTAAAACGTCTGTTTTATCCCTGTTTATGAGTTTGTAATGCTTTGACTCTCTTTATGAAGTGCTTGCTGGCACAGTCGGCTCATGAAGGTTTTTTTTTTTTTTGAAACGAGAGGCAAAATACAGCGTGTGAGCGCTTTCAGCAATTAAAACATTACCTCCTCCCTCTTGGCGCACACACTCACACACAGTCTTGTCTAAAAATTAACCCGCTAGCTTCGAAAATGCCGAAATGAATCTGTTCTCCTCCCGTGTCCAAACTTTGAGGCCCGGCCAGAAGCTTTCTGCAAGCCTAGTGTACTGAGAAACTGTTTTGATTGGTTGTTTAGGAAATGTGGTGTGCTTGAGGAAATGGGAAAAATGGGTTTCATGGTGCAGTCACGCACTTCCTGGTCACACAACGTTCTCTAATTGCGCACCAAATACGTAAAAATGCACACATTATCGCAAAAATTATTCATCATTACATCTGGTTTTATTTGGAAGTAAATAAAATTGCTGTTCAATCCAGTTCAAATGAACACTGAAAGCTGTCACTGTTTTTTACTGAAGCCCTGTGAATGCGTCACAGCTTTCGAGCTCAGAGGGTTAAAAGAAATTAAAAAAATTCCTGTATCCACATTGTGATCCGGAACCTCACCCAAATTTACAGGTGTGTTACTTTGGCTAATCCCCACGTGTGGTAAAAATGCCATGACAATCCGTCCACAGGTTCTTGAGTAATTTTGTCCACAGTCAGAACGACAGACAGACAGACAGACAGACAGACAGACAGACAGACAGACAGACAGACAGAAAACATTACCTCCTTGGCGGAGGTAATAATAATAAAAATAATACTTCCACTAGACATTTTTAAGTACTTTAAATATGATTATAATGTTTTCACATTGGTGAATATTAAAATTTTTGTTTTATGCAAATGAAACTGGCCACTATGTTTTTTTTTTACAATAAATAAAAGAAAATGCTGTTTAAAAAATAAACAAATAAAAAACATATTATGCAATTCTTTATGTCACAGTTTAAACTTATGGTTGATGTTTTTGTGATTTATAAAGCAGATGGTGCTGAATTAGAGGAGTGAGATTTTTGTTTTTATTTAAAAATGTTAGTTGTTTAATCACAGATTATGAGAAAACGTTCCGTGTCTCAGTGGTTAACTTTGCAAGACATGCTTGGGTTTATTTCCCATATGAGGACAATGAATGTGCTGTGAGTACATTCTTTGTTTGACTGATTTATTTATTTATTTATTTATTTATTTATTTATTTATTTATTTATTTATTTATTTATTTATTTATTTTCATAGTTGCTCCAATTTTATCCCACTGTCCTTGACCAAGACTTTTGCTGCAGAAATAGAGTTTGTCCCTGGACATTGCACTTTTTCTGATAACTCTATGAAACAATAATCTAGGATAATGCAGAATTTTTTTCTTTAGATGATTACAGAGTGATTATGATTTTAAACTGACAATTCTTATAAGTAATTTAGAGATATGTGAGTAACCGTTCAGCACCTGAAACTCTCTCTGTGTTTTATTTTTGATGCCAACCACAGAACACTTTTCTTGAAGTAAAAAATGAACAGAGTCAGGGCGACCAAGAAAAAAAATAACAAGCAAAGGATGTTTGTAAGAAGTATTGTTTAAATAAAGAAACAATCATCTTAGGATCCCCTTGTGGCATTTCTGTTGAATCAATTTTGTCTCCATTCTTTTATCTCTCTCCTCCTCATGTCTTTATCATGGTGTGGTAGATAACAGAAGATAATGTATTAAGGCCGTAATAGAAACCAGTGTTTACATGCTGCACCTCGGATTTGTATTAGATTCAACAGCATTGATTTCACTAGTCAACAAAGGTCAGCAAGAACTTGGGTGGCGCCAATTACTTTATTTAAAATTATCTATTGACTGGCAGATCAATGCTAATTCTCATTTTGCTCATTGTTGTTTTTCCCATCCTCCATTCCTCCATCTCTCCACTCCTTCTTCTCATAGCATAATTATTCTTTTACCTGCCATTGTTTTAATCTCCTAATTAGTCTGAAGGACATCCACCATTGCTTTAAAATGGTCCACTGATGTGTGGGTGTGTGTGTGCTAGTTAATCTGCAGCCCCCTCAATCAGTGCAGACTGAAATTGGTGAATAAATAGAGCTGTGACAGTTGTTGAACCAACCTTGCATTGCTCCTTTCTCACTATATTTTGAGCACAAAAAAAAACAACAACTTTGAAAATGTTTCTTCAGTACTTGGTTGTAAAAATTCTCACATTAAATGCTTTCATATTTCATGTTAGTGTTGGCACTGAAAAAATAACCTTTTTTTACTGCTTTACAGATTCAGCGGAGGTGGAGAGGCTTCTTTGTCAGGAAATACATCCATGACTTTTATGCACGGAAAAAATACTTGGAGGGACTCCTCATAAACAATGAACTTATGAGGTACATCTATAAACACATTGTCCTTCACATGAGTTAAAATAACTAATTTTCTTTGAATGAAATATTCACAATGTATAGTTTTCTGTAAAACTCTAATTTTGTAGTGTTTATATAAGTTTTCAGATATAGAGCACTGGGGTCAGAAGTACTAAACTGATGAGTGAAGAGACTGTGAAAACCTGTACCCACTTCATAAAATATAAGACCAGAGCAGCAGGAAAAGAAAAGTGGGAGAAATAAAAGAGTAGAGTTAGAGGGGAAGGAAGAAAGAGTGACTATTCCTTTAAAACCCTCAAGGCTGAGACAAAAACGTGAACAATGTGAAGAAATTAAAAATTAGCCTCTGATCTGAACTGCAGCTTGTACATTAATAAAACATTCTGTGCTTCAGGGCTTAGTCCTACAAAAATGCCATATTTTATTTTTGACCAAAAAAAAAACACATATAGCTAATCTGTCATATTTTTAATGTTGTTAATGTATTTTACCAGAAAATATCTTTAGGCTTCTGCTAAAATTAAATATAAATTTGTTAAAGTTCTCCCTGGATCACTGACTTTCCTCCTTGCTTCCCCACCAGGGTTCCATCGCTTGATTTGATTTTATTTTATTTACAGTATTTATTTAACAGGAAAAGATTATTAAAAATCAAGCCTGACTCAGCATACCTCTCCTTGGGCTGCTGCCTTATCGTGGTGGAGGGGTTTGAGTGTCCCAATGATMCTAGGAGCTATGCTGTCTGGGGCTTTATGCCCCTGGTAGGGTCACACAAGGCAGACAGGTCCTAGGTGAGGAACCAGACAAAGCGCAGCCCGAAGACCCCTTATGATGATTAATAAAATTGGATCTGGCGTTCCCTCGCCCGGACGCGGGTCACCGGGGCCCCCCTCTGGAGCCAGGCCTSGAGGTGGGGCACGATGGCGAGCGCCTGGTGGCCGGGCTTTCACCCACGGAGCCCGGCCGGGCTCAGCCCGAAGAGGAGACGTGGGTCCCCCTTCCAACGGGCTCACCAACTGTAGGAGGGGCCAAAGGGGTCGGGTGCAGTGTCTAATGGGAGGCGGCCGAAGGAGGGGACCCTGGCGGTCTGATCCTCGGCTGCAGAAGCTGGCTCTTGGGACGTGGAACGTCACCTCACTGGTGGGGAAGGAGCCGGAGCTAGTGTGCGAGGCTGAGAGGTTTCGGCTAGAAATAGTCGGCCTCACCTCGACGCATGGCTCTGGTTCTGGAACCAGTCTCCTTGAGAGGGGCTGGACGTACTTACACTCTGGAGTTGCTTGCGGTGAGAGGCGCCGGGCAGGAGTGGGCATACATGTTGCCCCTGTAGCGGTTTCCTACCTCATTTTATGATTGCTGATGAACAT